ACTCGGCCCAGCTGGTGGCGCTAACACTAACACCAGAGACTACCTCATTGCCCTGGTTGAGATCCGCTTCTTTTCCTGTTTACATTCTGCTACTGTAGCTAACAGCTACAGCTACAGTAGCTAACAGCTCAGTACGGATCGCGTTGTTTAGGGAAAGATACATCTCACACTTGTCCAAATTGCTCTGATGCAAAGTGCAGCAGTTCATTGGGTAACGTGTGTGTAACGTGAATGCACACGTGTGTGTTTGTGTGTGTGTGTGTGCGCTGCGGACACACACGCACTATTTAAACGAGCATAAGAGCGCTGAGAAATGAATGAATGAGAATGAAGGAATGAAAAGTGTGTAGTACGAGCATAGCGACCGCAGACAGGGAGGTTACAAGTGTGTTTGTGTGTGATCTGGTGATTAAATAAAGACTGATTCTTGAATGTCTGAAGTGTTATTGCAATAGCACCGCACTGAGAGCGAGGGTCAGGACAGAAGAGAGCTATACCCGTAGGAAACGCTTTTCTTTGGCCCTGCAGAGAGACACTCCCCCAGCGCCCCTCGAGCACGGTCCGGGGGCTTATATGAAAGGTTAAACACAGCGGAGAATACGAAAGTGCAGGAGAGACGTGTGTGAAAATGCTTGTCACAGGAAGACTTAATGTGACGCACAATATCAAGTCCCCACCGCACCTAATCCCCCACTCCCCACCACCCGCCACACTGACCCCCCTCATCAGCGCTGGGAAGTGGGCCCTGGCCGCAGTTTTGAACTGGGCCAGAGCACGAGTCCAGGAATTGTGCTCTGGCCCGAATGCCGTGGTCAGATTGCACCTAACGCGAAGCGGGCCCTGGCACACTTTAACCGGGCTTTAGGCTGCGCATGTGACCGCAGCCTTAGTGTCCCTTGTCATCCTGAACTTTTTTTCTTCTTAAATCCTTCGGTTTTCTTTAAATCCACACTTTACTGCCACAAACTCTGCTCGTCTGGCTCTGGCTCTAACTCCTGCTATGATGAACAGCTCTGATTGGTCAGAGCACGGCCGAGCGCCTCTGTGCGCGTGCATGAGACCCACACACGCATATTTGGCGCAACGCATCATGGGAGATAGTGCAGCGCATAATGGGAGATAATCCACTGCGCAGATACAGGCGAGTTTCCCATGGATCTTTGCGAGTTCCAGGCGAGTTCCAGGCGAGTTCCAGGCGAGTTCCAGGCGAGTTCCACTAATATGTCAGCGACCGTGCCGGCACAAAGCGCCACTGAGCACAACCATTCATTTGAATACGGCGCCATCTTGGATCGCCGGGGCTTGAGCTGGAGGCATATGTTCACAAGCAGTCTCCCCCATTGTTAGCTCTGGTTTAATCCTGGTTTAGTCCTGGTTTAGCTGCTGTTTTGGCTGTTTTCGAGTGTCTTGTGTCCCTGTGACGGCTCCGTGCAGCTCTCTGATAGCCGCATGTGCGCCTAATGCATCGGGTCTCTGTGTCCACTGCCTCTCCCGTCGCACATGCTATTCCGCGCAGGGACATGCATAACTATTGACACTGCATTAAAAAACGATCTATAGATTCATGGGCGCTACGCGTGGTGCGGTTGTTGTTTTTACATTTCCCAGAATGTTTTGCTGTTTCTTCCCGGCTGTGATAGGTCGAGAAGCCTCTGCCTACATCCCCCAGAATGCCGCACGTGTCTGACTCTGCTTTATTTCCTTTTGTTTTCTTCCTGTTTTTTTCTAACGGAGTGAAATTGAACTATCAAACATTCTATCGACCCCGTTTTCTATTGATCGAACACGTGTCTATCGCAATATACATCGTTAGCGTTTTATCGCCAAGCTCTACTCTGTTACAAAAAAACATTCGATTGCTGCAGCTCTATTATGCACACCAGGAGCAAGGTGGAGGGGAGAGCATTTTGGGAACTCTTTGGACACCTATAGAGGAAAGAACAATTCAGATAACTGTTGCATATGATCTAACCAGATATGATCTAGACAGCCATTAAAACAGTAATGGTAATAATCAAACCAAATCGTGAGGTTTTGAGAATTGTCACAGCCCTTTTGTGACATACTCTGTATTATTACTATGGCTCTAGGCTCAAATGAATATCACAGTAGCTCTTCCCTTTTTAGTGCCAACACTAAAATGCGGGTCTACCTGTAATTAAAGAACGTTAAACATATTGAATCAATTACTAACTTGTTTAACTATTTCAATAATCATTCAGTCGCGTTTAACGTGTTCACGCTCTCCATCCTTGTTAGCCATGATTTAAAACTTTATTTAAGCTCCTCCTATAAGAATACGTATAATATGGGCACTGTATCAGTACAGTATTGAGGGAATTAATTCAGACTTCGAATTTACTTGGAAATACTGCCGTTTGCCCTGATCAACTTCCCCAGGGGTGATGAACTTTACAGAACACAGACCGCTGAGACATGAACGCAACTTCCGCGCGCACTGGACGCACATTCTCTAAATTTCAGCCGTTAGGGGCGTTCAGACCAGAAGTCCTGGCCTGCGGTGGGAAAAAAAACCGCAGGGCGGAAGTGGTGGGCGAGCTTTGATGCTAACAGAGTTAAGCTAACGGTTTTTTGTGTAAAGTTCTTCTCCAAGAACGCAGCGTCTCTGTGTCCAGAGACCTTCCAGAGACTTTATATAACAGCAGTATGTGTTCACGGAGGTGCGCTATAAGTTTATTTTATTATTAAACTGTTCTTCAGCATTGGTGAACACATTAGCAGCACTTGTTTACAAGCACTGTGTCCCCCATTGTCAGTCCTGGTTTAGTCCTGGTTCAGCTCCTGTTTTGGCTGTTTAGCGGTCTAGCGAGCAGACTGAAAATACTCGATAATGTCCCTGTGACCACTTTGCGGCTCTTTGATTGGTCGCTGCACGTGCGACCGGCGGAAAAAGTTCAATGTTTATCTCCTGCCTGCGTCAATTTGACGCTGCCGCGCAGTCCGTGTGTGCGTGCCGCGATGCACATGCTCTTCCACGCTCGAACAGACATTAACATAGACCATAGACTACCATTGAAAGTTGTTGCAACGCATGATCTGGTCTGAACGCCTCATAAGAGTATCAGCTAAAGGATGATTTTAAAGTGTTTTTGCATGTTTTCAAATGACTTAATGCCGTGGCCATATTAGCTCCAGAATTTTGATATTTTGCGATTGCAACTATTACCGCAAAATTAAGCAAACACTGTCAAATCAGTGTGACCTGCAACTTCTTTTAAGTGGAGTTTGTCAGAAAAAAGAGAGGTACATGATTTGAAAAAAGGTCCTTCCCCCTTCCTTTCTGATTGGTCTTGAAGCCACGCCTACTTTTGCTTGTACGCGCCAGGTCACTGGTCCAAGATGTGCGGAGGAGAGATTATTAATTTAAATATTTAATTATAGTTTATTATACAGGTCCTCACAGCAGCAGTAGAATGCTTCATTGATTTGAATGTAATTTCAAAACGTTCTACCGATAATTATTTCTTGATGACGGACCTCTCAAACCGATAATGGCCGCGCCCTTTTGCAACACACTCTGTGCTTGTACCAGTTATGTAAAATACTAAGATTACTCCGGATAGTAGTTCGCACACTTAGTCACAACGGGCTTTGAGCGCCTGTCTCTTATTAGCTTCTCTCGCACAGACAGAAGTATCGAAGCTAGCCACGTTCAATTACACAAATATCCATCAATCAGTGTGTCATGTGTAACATTAAAGTGAACAGGCAAAAATGCCTTTCAACCTGCACATTTTAGCAAAAATGTCTCTCTCACATCCAATAAAATCAATATGAACATTCTACAGAAATTGTAGAACGCGTAATGTAGCCATATATCAAGTATCAATACTTGATGATTTGTGCTGAATTGTGTATGAATTGTGCTATATAAATAAACTTGGCTTGCCTTGCCAATACTTATTTTTTTTCAGCTTTACTTGAAAAAAAATAATTTGATTTTTATTTATTTTTTTAATTGATGTTTAGCAAGGGCTTATTGATAATCGATTGCGAGAGAAGGTATCACGATACATCACCATATCAATATATTGTCACACTCCTAATTGTGACTCTGTATTGCTGGCTCAAATTTATGATTTTGATTAAAAAACAAAACAAAACTATTGTTCAGAAATTATGTTTTACAGTTTACACTTTTAGAAAAATGTCCCGCAAAATCAAGCATTTTAGTTTGCAACTATCACAATACTCATACCACAGGACCCGATTCCGGCAACCGATACCCGCATTTTTTATTCACATTAGCGTTACAACATAAGACAGCTGTACGGCACGTGTTGCCATGGTGATCTCCCAAAGTCGGCAACGAAAAAGCAAGCCAGCCAAACATGAGGAGGATGTTGTTGAGGACGTGTTGTAAAGTTCCACTGCCCACTACTGGCCCGGCACTAGAACTATATTGTTTTCACTTATGGAAGACTTGTCATGTAGACGCTTTGCACTTTAAATCCGGAGTGGGGTCATTTCAATTGCTTGGCTCAGTGTCCGTATAAACAGGGCCTGAAGCACGGGGGCAGCTCGTTCGAGTACAGCAGCGAAGATGCAGAAAGGCTTTGTCCAAAATCAGTAAAAAATAAAAGCGTTTCTCATCTCAGGTACTTACAGTGGGGCAAAAAAGTATTTAGTCAGCCACAAATTGTGCAAGTTCTCCCACTTAAAAAGATGAGGGAGGCCTTTCATTTTCATCATAAGTATACCTCAACTATGAGAGACAGAATGAGAAATTAAATCCTAGAAAATCACATTTACACATTTATTTGCAAATGGCAACAGTACAGGGTGACAGTAGCTCAGTTGGTAGAGCTTTGGCCTTTGGGCCCGAAGGTCGTGGGTTCGAGCCCATCACGGGACCTACTCGGACTGCTCCAACTAATGTCTAATATCTACTGTCGTTGTGTCCTTGGGCAAGACACTTAACCCCACATTGCTTGAAGCTCCTGCTGAAACACCAAGGCTGTGGCACCACTGATGTAACAGCCATCTTCCTGTGGAGGATCAGAGGAAGAGGATCTGTGGAGGATCTGCAGAGGATCAGTGAGGGACTGCTTTGAGCATTGGGTGGCAGCTCTCATTGCCACCCCCCCGACCCAGAAATGGACTAATAAAGTTGAAAATGAATGAATGAATGGGTACAAACAAGCAAGATTTGTGGCTCTCACAGACCTGTAACTCCTTCTTTAAGAGGCTCCTCTGTCCTCCACCAGTTACCTGTATTATTGGCACCTGTTTGAACTTTCAGTCTGAAAGACACCTGTCCACAACCTCAAACAGTCACACTCAAAACTCCACTATGGCCAAGACCAAAGAGCTGTCAAAGGACACCAGAAACAAAATTGTAGACCTGCTCCAGGCTGGGAAGACTGAATCTGCAATAGATAAGCAGCATGGTGTGAAGAAATCAACTGTTGGAGCAATTAGAAAATAGAAGACCTACAAGAAGATCACTGATAATCTCCCTCGATCTGTGGCTCCATGCAAGATGTCACCCCGTGGGGTCAAAATGATCACGTTCTGGGGCGGTTTTTCTGCAGAGGGAGCAGGACAACCGATCCATCGTGACAGTCATCAGCAAGGGCATTGAAGATGAAACATGGCTGGGTCTTTCAGCATGACAATGATCCCAAACACACCACCCGGGCTACGAAGGAGTGGCTTTGTAAGAAGCATTTCAAGGTCCTGGAGTGGTCTAGTCTCCAGATCTCAACCCTAGTTTTATGATAGAGCTGTACATATTTTCTGAGTTTTATGAGTTATGATATGTGATTATTTGTGACTATGGGGATCAATACATTCACGTTGATCAAAGGGGGGAGTATGGATCTCTTAACACTTCTCGAAACACTGCAATTTGGAACAAATGTTATTTGTTTAAACCTGATTTTATGAAGCATTTTTTTTATGTCTATCTAAAAATTTATTAAAGTGAATTGAACAACTTTTATGATGCCGTCTGCTTCCTGCTTGTTGTTGCCATGATGATATGATATGATTGGAATGGACCTCCTATATAGTATTAATCATGAACAATATCTAATTTATTGTTTATACCGCTTAGCCTAACTACACTTAGATGAAAGCGATTGACAGACTGCAGTGAAACATTCTGTCAAACAGTTCCCATGCTCACCTATGCTCATGGGCTTTGGGTAATGACTGAAGAGACAAGACTGCAGAGGAAACTGTCTTGGCTCTCCCTTACACAAGGTGCAGATAAAGATGTTTTTAGAAATCTACCTGGGATTAGTGTTCTGGGCATGCATGTGCCACTGGGAGGTGACCTGGTAGAAAGATCCAGGCCATGTCTCCCACCTGGCTTGGCGAGGTCTCGGGATTCCCCCAGATGGAAGAATTTCAAAGTCTGGGGAACAGATAAAAGCTAAAGAAAATGTATGAATGATTGTTGTATGTGTAGTTTTTCTATTATCTTTTTTGTGTGTCTTTGTGCACAGCTGAAAACAACCACCGCCTGAATCTTTTCTATGTTGCCAATGATGTGATTCAAAACTGCAAGAGAAAGAATGCCATTGTCTTTCGGTCCAGTTTTGCAAATGTCCTCCCAAATGCTGCTCATCTCATCAGGTTAGATTCAAATGGTTGGAGTGATTTTAAGTCTGTCATAAAATGCAACTGGTTTGTGTTTATAGGGATGTCAAAGTCTGTAAGTCAATTGAGAGGATCTTTACTATATGGGAAGAAAGAAGTGTTTATCCTGCAGAAACCATTGCCCTGTTCAAAGAAGGTTTGAACAAAAAGGAAGAAAAAGAAAAACAGAGAGTAAAGGAGAAGGAGAAGAAAAGGGAAAAAGATAAAGATAGGGAAAAAGAGAAGGAAAAGGAGAAGAAGCCGCCTCCATCCTCAAGTGGTTAGTTCATTCTGCCTGTTCACGGTCGGCTGTGTGTCAAAATATTGTTAACTTGTGCATTTTCTTCCCAAGCGCCATCAACAACAAAAGCTGCCCTCAAATCCAAGATTCTGGCTGAGTTTGCTGTAAGTCTTGCATTGGTTTTTGAAAGCCATCTTAAAATCTAACCCATATTCTGATCTTATTTTTAGCCACAGTCGCTCATTGAAGACTTGTCCCTATATAAGCAAGCTGTTGCAGAAGAGGAGTTCAGAGAAAAACAGCTGGCCACTCTGAGAGTAGACGTCTGCAGCTCAGAGGCTTTAAAGAGACTCAAAGGTAAAACATTGATTAAAACTGAAGAAAGAAAAAAAAAATATATATGTATATTTTATAGATTGATTAACACTTTTTTTTTTTCTCCCAGACAAGGCTGGGGGAAACAAATTTGCCAAGGACTTTGAGGAAGGTGGTCTGAAGCTGCAAGAGTTTGTGAGCTTTCTTGAAAAAGAAATGAAAAGGGGTCCTTCTCTGTTGGAGTCTTTGGGAAATGCAGATGTTTTTTATGAAATGCAATATAAAGAAGTTAGAATTGTGGCCAACGTAAGTATAAATAAAGTAATTATCACAATGTGTTTGGCAACAGCTTCTGATTTTGACAAAACAACTTTAAGGCTTACAGTGCTTTTGCGAGTCGTGTGGCCAGTTTAAAAAGAAAACTGGATTCTCTTAAAGCAACATTACCTGGAGCAGAAGACTCCCCCATCCCTTCACCTTCTGAGGACGCTCCCTCTCCCACTGGCTCAGACTCTCCAATAATGCAGCTGGATGTGAACAGAGCTCAGCTGGACCCAGAGCTAGACGGCAAAGCTATGGACGAAACTAATGACAACCTTGAAGATGAGATGGACTTGTCTGACGAGGAGGATGAGACCACTGTATTGGAGGGTCAGTTGTGAAATGTTATAGCACACATACATAATTACATTTAGTAATATCTAGTCACTTATTTTTCCTTTAAAATTGTTTTGCATGAACAGAAAACAACAAAAAGGACATTGAGATCACTGCAGTAGAGGCAGAAAATGTCCCAACTACTCCAACAAACTCTTCAAAGACTAATGATGTTGCCACTGCTGCAAGCACCCCCACCACTGTGAATACCAACCCGCTGGGAGTTAACCTGGCAAAAGTGGACCTAGGGAAGATCAGCTCCATTCTTAACTCTCTGACGTCTGCTATGAAGAATACAAGTAAGTTTACCAAAGAGGTACGGACATTTTTGCTTTACGCTCTTATAGGTTCAGTATACAGATATATTAAGCACATGTTAATCAATGTGCACTGGATCCCTGGATCTTTGCGCACAGAACATCTGTGCGGTCGCACCAGGCACGTGCACAGGGGAAGTGGAGGGGGGCTTTCAATCATGTAATATTTTGTTCTGAACATTGTATCAAAACACAACTGAAAATAGTAAAAAAATAAAATGAATGATTGCCCTTTCAGTCTACAAAAGCAATCCTTTGGTAGCCATCGGCTTAAAGATTCAAATATGAATCCTATAGTCTCTATTGTTGCCGATACCAGTTTTGTGCATCCCGAGTATATCCCAGATATATTATAATATGATCCAGATCACAATCTGGATGTAGGATTTTTTAAAGAAATAGAACCGTTCCTCTCAGCGGAGGTCTGCGCTCTTAAAATGTGAAAAATGTCACTTGACAAACTTAACTACTGTCTTCTCTTTGTAGCAAGTCCAGCACTTAAGTCAACTCCTGGGGCCCCTTCTACTACATCAGGACCAACCTCTTCAATAACTGCTTCTCCAAGCCCTGCACTTGCAAGCATCTTATCCCGTGTTGACATCACTCCTGAAGGCATATTAAATGCTCTTTCAAAAACAAACACACCAGGTGAATCTTAATCCGTTAAATATTTATTATATTTTAACAGTTACTGTGCTTGTTTGTTTAATACTGTCTTTATATGTTTTCAGGTTTGTCTTCTTTACTGCATAGTGTAACAAACAGCTCTGCTTCTGGCAGTCACAAGTCCCCCCCTGTGAAATCATCAGTAAAAACACCAATCACCCCAATCCCCCCTAAAATCAAACTATCTTTAAACAGCCCGATGAAAAGAGAAACGCCAGTCAAAAACAAGGACCGGGAAAGGCAGTCGTCCCCTCCTCCACCTTCTCGAAGCATTGCTCCCCCTATGTCAACTCCTAGTTTAGAATCCAAAATTAACAGCTTTTTGCAGGGTAACCCTGGTTTTAGTCTAGCTTTGGGTGATCTGAGTCCTGATGGAGTTGATGGTACACCAGTTAGAGACGAGACTGCCGGTACTCCCACTCAGGATGAGATGATGGACACGCCTGGAAGTGTCCCGGAATCCTTGGGTTCCTCTGGAAGCCACCCTCTCTCACCCACGGCCTATCGTAGTGATCCATGGGATGCTGTGATCACGCCATCTGGAAGCAACAGTGAGGGAGATCTTCTAGGCTCACCTTCATTTGGAGCTGTCAAAAAGAGCCACACAAAACTTAAAGAAGAGGATGTTAGAACGCATACTACCTCACTCTCTAGTAAAAAGGTTTTGAAGGGTAAGAGTGATGGACAGCCTGGTTATTATAAAAACAAATCTGTAGCAGAGAGGAGAGTGTCGGCCGGTTCTCGTAAGGTCAGCACAGGCTCTGACGATGGGAGTTATAGTGGTAAGAGGGATGGAAAAGCTCGGGGTGGGTCCCCAGGGAGAGATGGAAAAGAGGGTCAGTATCACCGTATTGAAACTCTGGTGTCCCCCTGTACTGAAGGAGTACCCATAGAAAGTCTCAGTTACTCAAACAGGCCGCTCACCGGAGAACCCATCAGAACAGTAGAGAGCATTCGAGTAATTGACCACGGAAGTCGGCGAGGATCAAGTGCCGGAAATCGTGGAGGGGGAGGAATGTGGTACGAAGAGGAAGAATATATGGAATCCCAGCCCCCCCCACCCATTGAAGTAGCCCCACCTTTAAACGGGAACAGACGAAAGTCTGAAGAAATGGCTCCTGCTCTTCAACTTCCTCTTCCACCCCTGCCACCCCCACATCCTTTTCTCCATCTACACCCTCCCTCCTCTCACTCTCACCCTCCCCCCTCTCACTCTCACCCTCCCCCCTCTCACTCTCACCTTCCCCCCTCTCACTCTCACCCTCCCCCTTCTCACTCTCACCCTCCCCCTTCTCACTCTCACCCTCCCCCCTCTCACTCCCATCCTCTCCCCTCTCACTCTCATCCTCCTCACTCTCATCCTCCTCCTCCTCACTCTCATCACCCTCACTCTCATCACCCCCCTTCTCACTCTCATCATCCTCAACCCTCCCTCACATTCTCTCCCTTCCCAGCCCCACCTTCTGCCCCCTCATCACTTCCCTCTCCCCTATCTCAATGAAGCTCCCCCGTCTCATCTTCACCAGCATCCACCTCCTACTTCTCCTTTCTTTAATACACACATGCCCCACAACAGGCCTCCCCCTTTACCCCAGAGGCCCCCTACCCCTCCTCTTCACTCCCCTGTGCCAACAGCTGTGATGGTGGGCGGGGTGTTGGTACCTGTGGATCATTCTTTACCGTTGTCTCTCCCAATTAGACAAGAGGGGCCTGACCGAGGGGCTCCCAGAGCAAATAAAGGCCCTCGCTTTATGGCGTCATTACTGGGGGAACCTCCACAACTCCCGCGGCCAGGAACTGTTAAGGATTATTTTGGTCTTCGAATGGCACCCCCTCTCCATCGCCCTGGTACTCCTGGGGTTCCTCCGCCTTTACTGGGCCGAGTCAAAGAGCCTCCGCATCTCCATCCTCCACTCCTCTCTCCCTCCTCCCACTCTCATTCTCCCCCCAGCCCATTTAATGTTGATACTTCTTTGCAGCTCATACCCCCTCACCCCAGTACTCCTCCATCCTTTAAACCTCTTGAGCAGAGAGAGGCTCCTGAGCAGAAAAAGCCCCCTGGAAAGAAAAAGGCCCCCGAGCCAAAGGCTCCAGTGCAAAATGCCCCTGAGAAGAAGGTTCCGGTGCAAAATGCACCTGAGAAGAAGGTTCCGGTGCAAAATGCACCTGAGAAGAAGGTTCCGGTGCAAAATGCACCTGAGAAGAAGGTTCCGGTGCAAAATGCACCTGAGAAGAAGGTTCCGGTGCAAAATGCACCTGAGAAGAAGGTTCCAGTGCAAAATGCACCTGAGAAGAAGGTTCCAGTCCAAAATGCACCTGAGAAGAAGGTTCCAGTCCAAAATGCACCTGAGAAGAAGGTTCCAGTGCATAATGACACTGAGAAGAAGGTTCCAGAGCAAAATGCACCTGAGAAGAAGGCTCCAGTGCAAAAGGCTCCAGTGCAAAATCCCCCTGAGGAGAAAGCTCCAGTGCAGAAGCCCCCAGAGGAGAAAAAGGCCCCTGAGCAGAAGACTCCCGTCAGTAGCCCAGTCCCTCCCCGTCCAAAAGGCCCTCCTCATTTCAACATGCCCCGGCCGCTCTTCATGACTGAGCCCATCCCACAGAGGCCTCTGGTGCGAGGCCGCCTGCCTCCTCCCAGTTTTAGAGGCTTCAGAGGCAAGCGTCATGGCCCTCCTTTTGGAGGTCCTTTCTATCCTCCTAAAAGACCCTTCCTGCCCCCTCGCTACTGAAGTGGTCTTTTATGGCCTCACTATTGGGGGTGTGTGTGTGTGAGTGAGTGTGTTTGCTCTCTGATACAAGCTCTGTTGGACACTGCTGTGTGTAAATAGGCCTAAACAGCATTTGTGTCTCCTGACCAGACATCTATCTTTTTTCTGTTTCTCAAAACCATAGGAAATGAAAAATCACGTTTAATTCTCTTCACACAGAAGGGGAGAGCTGGAGGAATTTGCATATGGTCTTCTTTTAAGATATTTTTTTCCAAATGCATTATACAGTGATGAGTAAAATTAATCTTTGCTTAGTTTTGCCCATTAGATGTGTGGTTCCTTTTGCTGAACAATGGTTGCTTTGATCCCTGCAGTTAAGGTTCTTTTATTTCTCATGTATCAATTGTAAATAACTTCTTGCTAGCCCTTTTCACTCTTCCTTCTCTTTACACTGTATAATACTAAGCTTGTATCCATAAAGATTTCATTGATCCAGCTTTTTCTTTTGAACGTGTAAAAACAATACTGAGATTGTGGTCCATGCATCCTGTCTCTACTGTATCAAGGCCTTGTTAAGCTTTTAAATAGGTTTTCAGACACTGTTAGTTTTAGAATTCCTGACAGAAGACGAGACAGTAAATCACTACTTTCCTTCAGAATAAAATGTTCACCTGTTGGATTTTCATGATGCCATCAAGAAATATCGTCACAGTAGACGGGTTTTTCACCCCATACTCCACTCTTAAATAGCTTTCAACATGTAATGACTTAATAAAATACAGAGTATGACTTCAAGGAGGGGGGATATTTTATTTGGTCAATGTCCATCTTCTGAATAGTGTGCTTTTATTCTCCACAGTTAAGCACAATTCAGTATCTTGACCATTTGACAGTGCATATTTTAATACCAGAATTACCTTCCTATTTTAAAAAAAGTATTTTCTTAATTAATGTTATTAAATTGTCAGCATTTTTCTTTTAGAAACTGTTTTAAAGTGGGATGCACTGGCTCATTGGTCATATCCATGTAAGGGTATTTCCTGCATTGTTTCAGGATAATGTGAACTATTTTATAACACCTGGACAGTTATAACAATAGCTTTTTGTAACCATTATTTTTTATTATGACCGATTGTTTTATTCATTGAATGTTTGTTTGCACTACACTGCACTCGATTTTCTTTTTTGCAACAAGATTTTCAATCATTTGGATTCACTACACCTAACTCACCCTTTCATTATTTCATTTGAATTTTTAATTGAAACATAGTTACATTGGTCCCTGCCCTCCATTCAACACTGTTAATCTATAGGTTGTCTCACAAAATCTCACCCTGCATTCAAGCCAAATGCTCTTTATTACCACTTTTGTATGATTGCACTATAGGCTGGTATACACACATGAATCACAATGTATGTTGTCAGTCCTTATTTGTAGCCTACATTGTACCTGGATGTGTGCACGGGGACTGTCTTAATGTACGTATCTACATTTTATTTCCACCTGTTGGGAAAACGGTTGTGTCCAAGAATTACTTAAAATACAGACATCGCAGTTGTCTTATGTGTCTACCAATGAGGAGATCGTTCCAAGTAAATTGTGTCTAGGGTAATGTCTCCCCCAAGTGGAGTAGTTCTGGTACTTCATTGCCGAATAAATGGCCATCACAGTACAAAACTATCACAGTGATTCTGGTGATTTTGGCGTAACAAAACTACAACGTAGTGTTGGCTACTTTTGTATTGCCTAATTAGAATTTTTGCTTGAGCTCTTTTGGGTGGACCATTTTAGAGATAGGTAAAGATGTTAAATCTTTCCTTCATTCGGCTCTTTTTTTCCCTTTATTTTTATTTTTTTACTAGTCTTTAGTTGTCAATACTGCCCAATCACCTTTAAACGACACATACTTGGTGGATTCAGCGTCATATTGGGTATTCCGTCATTCAGTCGGCATTTTGACAGATTGTAGTCCAAGATTGATGCACCACTAAAGTGGTACTGATGAAACGGCACAGTCTATAGAAAGTACCGATATTCTTCTGTTTGTTTTCTCCCCAAATAAACGTGCGCTTCTCCGACACTGGACATGAGTGCGCGCTCTAAGCCACATGGACGCGCACGTTGAGTTGCGTCTTCACGCAGTCCCGCCTCTTTTGTCTGTTGCCAATCAGCGGCTGTTCTATCTGCAAGTTTCCGGTGTTATGGCCGCGCTTGGACTTAAGGGCAATGATGTGATGAGTGTTTAATAAACCTACAGTTTTAGGGAAGATGATGGTGCAAGTATTTCCTCTGATTTTGTGTCGGACAGTCGCGCTCACCTACATACATGGAAAAAGGACTTACGCCAAGGTGCGAAAGGCCAGTGACGTGAGGCTTGAAAAAAAAAAAGGCTAGCATTAGCCGCTGATGCTGCCCCTTGTCATTCATGTATCTGTTATGAGCATGCGTTGTTGTTAGTTTGAGGACTCAACTTCCTGATGTATAAAATGCCTTTGAGGACCTTTTTTAGGCTATGTCTTTGATTCGTCAATTGCAATGGAAATATTCCCCATTTTTTATTATTCCCCCCTACTTTGTCCTCTAGGCCACTGTTAACAGTAATTATGTAAATATTGTAATAGTATCTTATACAACCTAATGTGAAGAGCCTTGTAAAAGTATCGTGTGAACAAACAAGTCCCAAACATCTTATTAGAAATGATTATTTTGCATACATCCCTGAAAATCCCTGATAGCCACTATTTAATGTTCTGGGCTGTGAGCTCATTGGCTGAGAGGGTCCCCCCCCCACACTATCCTTACTCACATTTTTAGATTAATCAAGGACCGACAAGAACATGTTTTAGAAACACACACAATGTAACTTACTCTGTAAATATTAAAACGACAATCAATAGAGCTGATCAATTCCTCCTGCTCTCCCTGCTCGCTGTGTAATAACTAATAATGACTGTATTTACACATGGATGGTCTATACTAATAATTCCTATTTGTTTTTGTATTAAGATGTTTCTATTGTGTGTTACAGCTATCCCGGTCTTCATTTACACAGTTGCAGTATTTTGACTCTCTTAAGAAAAAGAGTGCATTTGAAGAGTCTGAAAAGCCATTGATTGTACGCTTGGCCAGTGGTCAAACTCTTGAAGGGACGGCTGGATGTACCACTCCCCTTAGCCTTGCTCAAAGAGCCCGGTGGGTACAGCCATTCTACTTTTATTAAACACTTTGCTAAAATTCATGTTTTCTGTGTCTTTGCATAGTATTAAGGGGGCTTTGGTGAGTAAAGTGAACGACGAACTATGGGAGCTTGGACGACCAATACAGACTGACTGTAAGCTTCAGTTCCTGGGTTTCGAGAGTCCTGAAGGAAGACTGGTTAGTCTACTGTCTGCACAATGAAGGGTTATAATGAGTTTTTATTTATTTCACAAATCCAAATAGATATTGGGCATTAATACACAAGTCAATACAAGTTTGAAACTTTTTGTTTACATACCCTGATAAAATACATGCCATCATTTTTACATAATAATTTAATCTCAAATTGAAGGGCACGGATTGTAAGATAGTGCTTCACACCACATTTTTTGTGATTTGGTGTTGCACAAAAAAATCCAAGCACTTGATCTGAGCCTTTTTACTTTCCAAACGTTGTGTAAAAAGCCTTAATTTCTCTGCCATAATATTAATATAAATTAGACGTTTAATATTACCAACCAGATTTTAACTACAACTGATAACAACATATATTATTAGTATTAGTAGCGATCATTACATGCGTCACCTGTGTGTGTTACAGACAGCCTGGAGGACTGGGGCATGTGTCCTCGGAGCTGTGTTGGAGTCTCTGTTGGAGACACCGGTTTGCAGGGAGGGAGTGTCAGATCTGGGCTTTTACTGTGACCTTGCTTTAAAGGACCGGTACATGGATTACCGTTACAGCACATATGGAGTTTGACTTGTTTTGTCTGTAAATATTACCATCTCCCCCCAGTACCATTTCATTGAACGACGTGGAGGAAAGATGCTTGAAAGCTGCTGTTCAGAAACTTCCTCTCACAAGATTGGATCTTAGTATTGATGAGGTCCAAGAGATTTTTAAGGTATTTTTAGCAATATATACTTTTTTTGGTTATAAACTTTGCAACTTCATTATGTTAAATACTTTTTAAGTTAACGAGTTATCGTGTTTGTGAATAAATAGTTATAATTACAGTCAATACACTGGAGAAAATACTTAAAAGATGCAATTCTATTTGTCCCAGTGAGCACAGATAACGATGAGGGCAAAATTAAGTATTTTGTTCATGTTTAATATATATTTTTGGTGTAATTGTTTTTTTAAAATGTGTTTTAGAACAATGTTTTGCGGCTTCAGCTAATGGAGGACCAAATGACCGGCCCTGCTGTTTCCATATACAGGCATGTATCTAATTATCCGGGAAATACGCTTAATGCTATGTGCAAATGGACTTTTTTGCATAGATTCAGGGACTATGCAAAAATGGGAGGTATTGAAAGACTGATGACGCGCTATTGGAGAGATGGAAGCTTGTAGTTTGTTTACAGATCCACGATTGCAGCAAACCCAAAGCTTCTTTCATTTGTTTTACACATCATTGTGTGTAAATATAACTAGTCTTTTTTGCCTGTCAAATTTCTCTCTACATACCGTATTTGGTTGAATTGCTGCAATTGGAGCCTACGGCTATGGACAATTAAGAAAACAGTACACTAACCATCTCCTACAAAAAAAAACTGTCCCCATGGGAAATTTAGTCTTGTGTGAGCCAGGCTAGTGTGAGCCAGGCTAGTATCCAAAGGCTGTCATCAGTCCAATCTCACCTACAGTGAAAACATATTATTGTGTTTTCTCAGGTGTGGGGACAGTATAGGAGTCTGTGATGGTCCACTCCTTCCTCATACTGGCCACCTGAGGGTCTTCAAAATGCTTCAGGTACGTGTGAATTATTGAACTTTAATAACACAAAATAATGTATTCATATATTTCAGTATGCAAGGTAATTATTATAATGTGAATAAATTTCTTGTGCGTACAGATCTGTCAATAATTGTGGAAGAGGATAGTTAAAGCCATACTTGGAAAAGTGTTTCTCAACATGTGTGTCCCTGGCACCCAAATGACAATACACTGATGTAGTTGTGACCCACCAACATATTTGGTTGTTTTGAAAAAGATGATTAAATGTTGTGCAATTATGAAATAATATATTATTAGCATTAATATTAGTAATAATAATAATAATAAATTATTATTCTGTATGCAATACAGTAATGACAATGAAGTTATATTAATCGGCATTTGGCTCACTAAGGTCCAGCTCTTCTTCACTGTTTTAGTTCTGTTCAAAATTAGTTTAGTTCTAGTTCAGACCCTCAACTTTCTGAAAGGTGGAGAACGGGTCTGAGACCTGCCCTATTTGTTCCAATGTTGTCTTGATTGTTTTAAAAGTATATTAGAGTAATGATATTAGAGGTGAAAGTTTCTTTCATGTTGTTAACATGACTTCAGTTTTGTACTGAGCATTGCACCTGAAGCTGCAGTCAGCTGTTAGCACAGCGAACATCACGTTATCAAGCCTTGAATGACATCCACATGATTCAATTCCAAAAGAAACAGCCGTATGGGGAACTTTTTTGCTTCATAAATAATAAATGTTGTTTGTCTCAACAGAAAGTCTTATAAAAGTAACATTTTGTGGGATAAAATGGGCATATTTAGAAAGTGCCATGTGAGTCACTATAATCATACAGCTGAATTTTAATAAGTGTACGTCAAAAACGCAATAACACCGCAGGAATGCAGCAGGCAACCACATCAAAGTACTTTCGTTTTTTGTAGTTTTTCAAAAAATTCTTCTAAGACTGAAGAAAAATGAAAATAAACACAAAAACAAATCCTAAGACTTAAACTAGACAAATCTTTTAGTTAACATTTCTTAAATTTCAACCTTCATTTCTAACATTTCACTCTTATCAGTGGTAAGAGTTGGTCTTATCAGAGCATCTCACAGTCGGATCACATACACTGGTTGTGGAAGATAGAAAGGAAAACAAAATATGAGGCAGAAGAATTATTTCCATCAAAACCAGCAAGAAGAGACCCTCCCTTTTCAAGGAAAAAAACATCCAACAGGGAAAAATCATTTAGTCTATATTTCAGTCTGTCTTATATCTAAAATAGTAAACAGTGAGGCTTTAATATGAATGATTCTTGGAAATATATAGCCTTTTGGTGTTAAGTGTGTACAATATCATATCCCATTCACACTACTTTTTCCTCTTTTTCAATGAGGATTTCTCATTTTTTATGTTGTAACTGCTCTTGTATTTGCAGATTACACCTGTTACATTGTCAAATCAGACTGAGGCCTCTGGTTTGATGCGTCTTCTGGGGGTTGCGTTTCCTGGGGTCAAGGAGTTGGAGGAGTGGGAGCGGGAGCAGGAGGAGGCTCGGAAGAGGGACCACAGGCGAATTGGAAAAGTAAATTTTTTTCTGTTCTGTGAAAATTGCAGCACAAGATGAAACCTAATTACATTTTTATATTGCAGGACCAAGAGTTGTTTTTCTTTAATGACGTTAGTCCAGGAAGCTGCTTTTTTCTACCAAAAGGAGCTCATATCTACAACACCCTTACAGATTTTATTAAGGTGAATTGAACACATGTAATGTACGTCTAGATCTCTTTCTGACACAATTTTATGGAGAAATTAAACAAAGCAGTGAGTTTTCTTTTATTTTCTGCGTTTCTTTTTGTTTCAGAGTGAATACCACAAAAGGGGCTTCACTGAGGTTGTAACTCCGACTTTGTACAGCACTGCATTGTGGGAGCGCTCTGGCCACTGGGAACACTACAGCGAAAACATGTTCACTGTGACATCAGAGGGATCCCAGACTTACGCACTGAAACCTATGAACTGCCCTGCACATTGGTATAAGCTACACTCGAATTATTTCTCAGTGTTTGAAATACTTGTATTTGGATTATTAGCCTGGATTGGAGTCATTCAGACAGAATTTCTTATGGGTTTCAAGGATGTTTACTTTGCATTGATAAAATAAACCTGTTGACTTGAAAACATTGACGAATAGGTCTGAAAAGTCAAATAGATTTGTCCAGTAAACCTAGACGAGCCAAAGTGAAGTTTCAGGCTGTGTTCATGCTTAGTTGCAATTAACGAGGGGAATTGAATTGAAATGGCGTAGACTCATTCTTATGTGCAGGAAGATGAACACAGACCTTTAATTAATGCAACTCTCTTGAATTAATGTGACCCATGTGTAGGTGTATCAATGTTAGGAATGAATGAATGTCAATCTTTAAAAATTAATCCGAGTGAGTTACATTTAAATGAACGATGGGCTTATTCCTAGTAAATTAAGATCTGCCAAAGAAACTAAAATAATTCATATTAAAAGTTTTTATTCAAGGCAAAAGTAGATCTATATCATAGGGAGGACATGAATTGTTGGAAAGACCTTCTCAGCCCTGGTTAGTTAGTGTGTCTACAAGGCATAACAATACGGCGTATGGTAGAACAGTTAAAAGTAACATAATGGGACCAATTTTCAGTCTGAAAGCCCATCGTCATGGTTATCATTTGTTGTTTTTTATTACTTAGTTTTCCATGAGAGTGCAATTTAATTCCATTCCTGTTTGTTTTTGTTTGTTTGTTTATTCATTTCAGGCATTTCACATGAGGCAGCAGTCACCTCTTGTTCATCATAGTTTCCAACAAAAAATAAAAATAAGTAAAGCATTGCTAACATGCATGAAAATAAAATAAAAAAAAAAACCAAAATATTTGCCTGAAAGGGAGTAGGAAGAAGAAAACTTATTTAATCCTACCCCCATAATATGTATACAACAAAAATTTGCTTCTTTGCAAGACAGGGCTATCAACAACTTTCGACTTCTGCACTATATTAACACAGAAAGGTTTGAGTATTCAAGTACTGTATCCCTAGTTGTTGTGGTTGATGTGTTTGTCTGTGTCCAGCATCATGTTCGAGCATCGCGTTCGGTCGTGGAGGGAGCTGCCTCTGAGGTGGGCCGACTTTGGAGCTCTGCATCGGAATGAACTTTCCGGAGCGCTGGGCGGTTTGACACGAGTGCGCCGCTTCTGTCAGGATGACGCTCACATCTTCTGCACACCGGATCAGGTAGAACAAACCATTGACCGTTTGGGGTCTTTATAATGAATTTATTATGTCAGCAATTACTCGTCCGGGCCCCCTTTCTCCTCTCTTTTCGAATCCAATTTGAATAGAAAATGGACACAAAATGGGTTTGATAGCAAATTTATCTATTCCAATCAGAAGTTACAAAGCTAAACATCATATCTTCTGCGTCGCCCATTAGTAGCCATAGCAACAAAGATGGTATACGAGAAAGAACAAAGAACTGTGGTCCTTTCTTCCCGTACTCGAGTGAGCAGCCTTTCTGTCCAGAATAATCATCTTCGGCCCCATCACAAATACAACATTTACATACAGGACATTTAGGCAAACACAAAACAAGGACCCTCTGCTTTACTCTCATCAATGATAAGAGTAAATCTCAATGATAAGTTCAGCTCCTCATGAGCTCCATGGGACGACAGATGGAAAGTGGCCTTCGTGGCTAAATCTGGCAAATGAGCACATGGTGATTATGGTGCACTCTCCCATTCAAATAAACAAATTAATTTATGAATATAATCTATTCAGCATTTTCAGCTCAGTGCAGTGGTCTTTTCTACTCCATTTTATGCTCGCTTCACTATGAATATATTGTATAGGTAAAACATTTCTACAATAAAAACAATATTTAATTTCTCTGGGCTTCTGAAGTAGAATGCAAAGCGTCCTGTTGACGCTCCCTTGCTATTTCTTTTCTTTTTGTGCTATTTCCTCTTTAATTGCTCAGCCGTACCTTCTGTGTGACTGTGGCTAATGTGTTAATGAGACACATGTGGAGCTGTATTATACTTATAGATGTGTTGTACTGGTCCTGGGGCATTCCAGGAGGCCTCAGAGTGGATGAATCGGGGCCTTTGTCCTGTAAAAACACGCGCTCATATGTTCATGCGCTTCTCTGTGGCAGCGCCGTACAGTGTGTGAAGCTGATCCCCCACACAGTGCATGGGGATGTTCTCATGTTCTCATCAGGCTCCAGCGGCCACGGCTCCGACAGACTGTTTATACACACAGCTTATATTCGGACACATATGAACAGTCTCTGTGGAGCCTCGGAAACACCAGCTCATTTGAAGCTTTGTTCTTCAATGTATCTGAGGTTTAAATAGTTTGAAAAATATATATTCAAGTCCCCAAACACATTTGAACAGTTTCCAGAGTCCATGAGAAACAACAATCGAGAAAATATCAAATACAAATAGCTAAACAATTTCAAAATCAATTGCTTTGGAAAACTGTCCTATATAGGTTAAACAAAATACATGGAAAATCTTAGATGTAATAATCGCAATTACATTTATTTAAGATATTGTAATACAATGTATTAATTATATTGTAAATATTGTAATTAAAATGCAACCCTTAATGTACATGGTTCGAGTTGCAACAATGCAACACATCCAATGACTCTGTACACCATCTACTTTATTATATTATGAAAATTGATGTATATTTTCCTTATTGATTTTAAAAAGAGAGAAACTATACAATAGATGTGTGTGAAACCCCGTAAACAACATTAGCACCATATTAATATAGCTCGTCACTTTTTAGAATTAGTTACACATTATTGTGTGAGTCTGTTTGGTTTTGGGTTGCACTTTCTTCTATGGAGGAATTAGTAAAGTATGTTGCCTATCTACTGTCTAAATTGGCATTGGGAAAAACCCTAACCCAAATGACTTCACCGAGGCCTTCTGTATTTTCTAACACTTCACTTTTCTCCGCAGCTGGAGGAGGAGATCACATCCTGTTTGGACTTTGTGCGCTCTGTTTATCAAGTGTTTGGCTTCACCTTCCAGTGTCTGCTGTCCACCCGGCCCACACCGTGTCTGGGGGAACTGGAGCAGTGGGACAACGCCGAAGAGGTACTCATTAACTTAGAGCTGCTCCTTTTTGGCACCAGTGAAATATAAAGTGTGAAGAAAGAGGAACTAAAAAAACAGTATTGATCTTAAACTGCATAACAAGTTAATGTTTTTTACATCTGGTCAAAGGGGGACTTTCCCACAGGGCTTCAATCTTCCAGGAACATATTTTTAATAGCTTCCTTTCTAAATATTAAACACATTTTGTGGACAGTTGCATTATGTACTCACTATGGGTGGCATCAGAGAGTAGAATAGAAGAAAAAAAATATATTTAAAAGTGATAGAAAATGGGTTCGGGTTAGGATAAACAACAATATTAAGAGCTTAGATTTGACTTGACTAAACTTGTAGCTACCTTTTTCACACTATACCAACAGTAATGACTGCTACTAGTGCTTAAGATGAAAAGCTGCAGAAGGAAGGCCATTTAACCAATGAGTCTATGGGAGTTGTGCACTGACAGAAGTGCTTTTTTGGGCGCTCATAAGTTTGGGCAGATGAGTTATTAGACACTCAATATATGAGTTTATATAATACATCAGAAAAGCATAATCTCAAAGGCGCTAAGTTGACATTAGATCTGTTTATTCACTATAAAGTTATTGCCACACTTATAAACAAACAAACAAACATGATTATCCAAGTTATTTCTCACCAGAGAATTGTTCTTGTTGGTGTTATGGCTAATCTGTGTGTGTGTGTTTTGAGCAGCAGCTGGAGAGGAGTCTGCAGCAGTTCGGTGAGCGCTGGGAGGTGAACCAGGGTGACGGAGCTTTCTATGGGCCAAAGGTCAGTGTCAACAACTTTGTGAGACATGAAAACTGATCTTTACCAAAACTAGTCAATAGTGAAAAAACAAATAGGATGAGCCTCGTGATTTACTCCATGTAGTCGTGTTATCCCAAGACATTTATTTTAGTTGAGTAACATTATTATTACAACCCTCTTTGATCCAATCTACTCTATTATCATTGACAAAGCCTGGACAAAGTGTATATTATTACAGACACAAGAAACACAACTTTTTGCCATGGGGAAAGGGGACATGCAATATCAGCTTTTCATAGCTTTAACAATTTCGTGTTTTCCCTGGTCTTTTACGTTATCGTTCTTTAAGTAAGTGTTATTTTTTAGAGTGATTCATGTCCTCAGACCACTGCTACCATGACACGCCCACTGTTTTTACTTTTTACAAATGTTCTTGTCTGTGAAAGAATCGTTGTCAAGGCATTTTTGCTTTGAAGGAAACAGAATTTGCGGATCACTAACTTAGTCTTCAGTGGAGCGAATCCTTGCATCTCGCCAGATTTTTAACTGCTCTAAATATAGACCGTAATTATGGGCTGCAGGTGTCAGATTGACACTAAATAGCAGAAGAAACATATCTAACTTTACATTAATTATAGTATGGAATATATCTCCAATAGATTGGATACAATCTATGGGGTAGGGGGCTGCAACCCCTTCCCACCTGGGAGTTGCTTCAGTCCTGCTCCGCACCTGTCCTTGTTCTACAACCGCTGCGTGGCCTTGGTGCTCTCTCAATGTGGATCTCCTCTCACTTTTTTCCCACTGGGTGTTTAGAGTTTTTCCTTGCCAATGCAGGAGGGTCTGTTAGACTGTTAGTGGTCTAACAAGAAGGACTGTGGTGGTGATCCAGGACATTCTAACATTCTACAACATGTATGGACATTTATCAACATTCATTGGTCAATTCCATAATGAGTATTTCAATGGTTTAGTAACTACTACTGGTTTAGTAAATAACTCCTGGCTATAAGATTACACATTGAATTGAATTGAATTCATTGTTATATAGGAAAGAATGGAACAGATTGTAAAAAAATCTTTATCCAATCATATGCAATGACTCTATTAGGAAAAAGAGGTTGAGATTCATTTTAATGAAATGTATTTTTGTATAGCCCTAAATCAAGACAGTAGTTATGTCAGACGACTTTACAAAGTTGTTGTAAAGTAAACACAGATCAGAGAATGAAGCAATCACAGTCAATGCAATGATAAGAAAACACATACAGCCATTAGTCCATAAGGGGCAGAGGACCAGTGTCCATAAATGTCGTTGTCCATGGAATTCTTAATTTGATTCTTTATTTTTTTATTTGACGGTGCAATGTGCAACTTCTTTGGACTGTTCTACATCCAATTCCATTTGTGGATTATCTTGCCTGGACAACAAGCAGATGGTTGAACCTTCCTCCAGAGAAGTTGCAGTGCACCTTTTTAGAGCAAGTCTCAGCAAAGACTTATTTTTTGCAACAAGCCATTGAGAAAGAAGCCATCATCAGGCAAAGTTTACATGATCAAGGTCAAGAAGAAGTGCAGAGAAAGAGGTATGTATGCTCAGGGTGAGGCTAGAAGCAAATAAACAAATGGCCCGGTGATTATAATTGGATATATCAAGTTCGACTGTTCTCAACAGAACTTTACTTTACAAACATGGAGATAGTATGCGTTAAGAGGAGATTCAATTCTATTTGTACTTTTGGAATTTTGAAAGGAATGAAATGTAAACTTAAACCTATCTTGTCCACAGATTGATATCCAGATCAAAGATGCCATTGGGAGGAAACACCAGTGTGCAACCATTCAGCTAGACTTTCAGCTGCCCATTCGATTTGATCTTCAGTATGTGGGGTGAGTCACGTTAGTTCAAGTGATTTTTGTATATTTTTTTGTCTGTTTCTGAAAAGAGAGAATTAAAAAAATTTTATTCTGGCCTCTGAAAAAAGATTTGCAAAAATCAATGTTTGAGTACTGTCTATTATGACTATGTTTAAAAGGTTTCAAAGAGAAGAATGTTGTGTGTGCCACAGGTGCAAATTTACCATGTTGTTGAATTTTAGTTTATTTTTGAGCTTTTGTCAGCTTTCTGTGCAGATTCTTGCTTTATGAATTGAGATGCTTGTCTTACTGTTCCAACTGTATGCCAAGTTTTTTCATGTTTATTACTTAAATACTGTACTGTTTCCACAGAAAAGACGGACTGTCGCATCGCCCGGTAATGATACATCGAGCCGTGCTGGGATCTCTGGAGAGAATGATTGCTATACTGGCAGAAAACTTTGGGGGGAAATGGTGTGATATTATCTGTTTGGTTGTTCCATAATAATATCCATGTTTGTTTATCGGCCACTCTCGCTTCACAGGCCACTGTGGTTGTCTCCATCGCAAATTATGGTCATTCCTGTTGGGGGCAGTAGTGAGTCATATGCCGAGCAGGTCAGAACCAAACAAAGCTCATTGTTGGTTACTTGTTGCCTTCTGTTTAGATTTCGTTCTTATTTACATGGTTTATTCTGAAATTAAAATCTTTTTTAACCTAATTCTACTTCAATACCATGTTCTAACATAATTTTCAAATTTAAGGTTGTACATCAGCTAAGTCAAGCTGGTTTCCTGGTTGATTTGAATGACGATCAAGGATCCACCTTAAACAAGAAGATCCGCTCTGCTCAGTTGGCTCAGTACAACTACATATTTGGTAATAAAAAGACTTTTAAAGATCACAATGTCAGTTTGAAGTGATTTAAAATGATTGGATTGTCTTTTGTTTATCTTTCCATTCTTCTTAGTGGTGGGGGATAAGGAGAGCGAGTCTGGAACGGTGAACGTGAGGAGCAGACGAGGGAAACAATTGGGGAGAAGGACTTTAGAGGAGGTGATGGCAGCTCTCAAGCAGCTCAGAGACACTCGGAGCAATGTGGACGAGTTTTAAAACGGACTGGAACTCATGAGTCACTGAGATGAATGTTTGTTATGTGTGCAAACTGTATATCAATAATGGCATTTTGTAATAAAACGGGTTAAAGTTAAAGTCAATTGGCTCTTTCATTTGATAGAGTTAAAATCTTTGGGGATAATTAGATAATAAGAAGGACTAACCCAAGTCTTTAAGAAGCCTTACAGGGCAGTATTATTAGCATAGTACTATAATTAATAAAAAAAATTAAGAATCTATCACTCAAGTGATTATTAGTAGTTTTATTCATAAATGATTTGTGAATATGGGACTCAAAGCATCTCTGCATGTTTGAGTCAGCATGTATGCCTGTCACAATGATTCTTAGAATTAAGATTTTTTGTATTGATGCCTATGCTTAGCTCATACATACTGGCAGTAGTTTAAATATTAATATTTAATGCACATTATATGATGCACTTATTTGGCCATCCAAATGGCATATTTTAACAGGCTTATGACGATGTGCCTTGTTAAGAAATTGTTTTTATTATTGAAATATTTTGCAGTCTATCTTGAGATGGAAGTTGTTACAGCGCTAGTAGAGTTACAACTAAACCTGTCTCTTGCTCTCTCAGGAGGAAATTATGTGTGTATATAAATTTAATTTCATATGAATCAAAATCCTGGTTACTTATACATTGTTATAACTTACTAAAACTTTACTTTGTTATATTAAGAGTCAATAGGTGGAAATGTTGTAGTTTTCATTGTAGTTTTCAGAAAAGTTTACAGTTCAATGACAGAGTTTGTGTTCAATATTCTCTTAATAAGGTTTTATCATTTTTATCTATACTTCATTTTTACATCATGGGCAAAGTTAGATCCTACTTTTTCACTTGTAACCAGAAATGGAGCACACACCTTTTATTAAGTGCAAATATGGATTGCTCTTTTCATGTGTAGCAATAATACTATAATACCAAAATGATGTATTGCCAACACATTTGGATTAACATTTAAAGCTGTAGCCATTAAATCGTCCTCCCACTCATAGGTAAAGTGTTGTAATGCCTCAAATAGTCCTTTAAAAGAATGGAACATTGAGAAGCAGGAGGATTTGACTAAAATAGGACAGGGTCACAGCTGTGTGTTTTCATCTGTGTTTTGTGGAAACAGTCAAGTCCCGGAACAGGTCAAAGGAATTCAACTTTCTTCTTTTTAATTGAGAGAGTTGAGTCGAACATAAGTCATAACAGCAACAGGAGGTGTAGGAGCAGTTGACAGGACAGACAATTTATGAGGGCGATACTTAATCTACAGGAATTTTGATTGCTATTTATGTGACAATTAAACTTTAGTTAATACATTCAATGGTACTGTTGACACACTTCTGACAAAATTGCTAAATAAAGTCTTAAATGCTGCTTCTCTTCTCTTTGATTTGATTTCCAACTTCACATTACTGAGGATAAGACTTGGTGATCTGGAGCGCCATTGTCTCTGGACCAGATTAATGTGCATTGCTCCACCATAAACAGCATTCCCAACATTAAAGCTGGGTTACCTGACATAAAATTAAGTGTGCAATAAAATCTATGTAACTAGTTCCTCACTCTCAACAACAGTTTTGTTCACTGTATTCATATTTCATTGAAAAAAGGGTTCCAGCCCGCACTCAGCCAATTGGCTCTGAGTATATAAAAGATAACATGTTTTATATTAAGAAAAGACTATTTCTGTTGGGACAGACTCAATGTGTTCATGAAAAAAACAGTAGTTAGGACCTCCAGCTTACATCTGTTTCAAACTAAGTTTTTTTGCGTTTTGAAGATGGACCATTTGAAGGGCTGGAGGTTGAAATGGACTGTGTTAAAATGTTAAAAACATTTCCAAAAAGAGCTGGCGCTGTAGAAAACCCTGTTAAATTGGTATAAACCAGACTACTTGTACTTTTCCCCTCAAGTCGTTTTGTCACGTGCCGTAGTCAGAACTAATTGCTATCCTTTGATTATCTGCTTTTGTTTTTATTCCCTTCCTTTTCCATCTGTTTTCTGAGGTTTCCCTAAGAATTGTTCACTACTGTCTATAATTCTGAGCAATATAACACCTGATACAATGCTGGGTGTTTAATGCCAAACCGTGGAACATTCCAAGCACAGAGACATACGACCTCACAGCGGAGTCATCATTAATCCTTATGTGTTGAGCTTGTCACATGCTGTTGTGAGCTATTTGCTTTGCATGCTGTTTTCAGTACTGGCAAACTGTATAGAATGAGCTTTAATAAAAACGTCAGAGTGCACAAAGCAGCACACGGTATCTCACAGGGGTTACTTCTTCCTTTGTCCTTGTCACACGAGCCGCCCATACCCCCAGCACAACCATCTGCCTCCCGTAAAACTGGAAATATAGTCCCTGTTAAACCTAATGAGTGCCTGTCCTCGTGATTGCATTTAATTTGAGTTGGGTGGGGGGAGTAGTCAGAAATAGTATTGAATGAAAAATGTCATTATGCTTGTACTGACTGACCCCAGATTTGAGGTTAGACAAAAGAAACAAAGAGCATTGGTGAAATTTAGAATTGAAGCATGGGAAAAAGTAAAAGTAGAAGAGTACCCAAAATTAGGCTCTAAAAGGTCTACTCTGTATATTGACCCAAGGCTTTTTTAATTCTGATTGAGATTCAAGATTACATTTATTGTCATTGTCACTGTGAGCAACAAAATCAAGTTGAATAATACAACTGTAATATATATTATAAAACAAAGTACCCATTACTTTTTTGAATTGACAGTGCCTCAATTGATACTTAAACTCTATACCTACTAAATGTCCAGTCAAAAGTTGTACTTTATTGACTCCATTGTGAAATGTGTCAACCTGTCTATATACAGTAGTAGACAGGTTGCAGAGGACAATAGTTTACCAATTGAGAGTATTTTGTTAGACTATTTGACAATTTTAAGAAAGCTAAGATAGTTTGCATTGTACAGTAGTCGCGTATTGTGATGACACAGACCATTAGCCGCAGTACTCCTGAATCCTTAACTTCACAGATAAGGGAATTCTCCGCCTGCTGCCTCCAGTGGGCCACCTTCCAGCCCTCATCCCAGCCCTGCGGACACACATCCACACACACACACACACACAATTCTTCAACTACTGGACTGGCCCAAGTCGCCCAGAGTTCAGCGGAAATTATTTTTAGCTTAAGGGTCTGTTAAAAAGACAAAGAAAGAAGCTGTTGAGATAAAATGCCTTACTGGAACAACAAAAGGGGATTCTTCCTTGGAGGCAAAGATTAATATCTAACAAATGCACTGTAATGTAAACTTTAGATCAGAATAGATGCAAGTGAAACATTGTCTCTCCATACGTGATAATTGTTTGTAATCAAATTTGCATTATAAAAAAAACAATAGGACACAGACACACAGTTCAGTTCAGTTCAACTTTGGTTTCATCTGACCAATACATCTTCTGAAAGTATTCTGTTCATCTTTATCTTCATGTGCTTTGGAAAGCTGTAGTTGGAGGGACAAAGATGAGGCGTGTACAGCGCAGAGATGTGGGGGGCAGCGTCATGTTGTGGGGTTGTTTCGCTGTGGGGACTGGTGGCCCCAAAATGAAGTTAAACAGTTTAAAGGAGATTCTTTCTAAAAAAAACATATTTTTAGTATAACCTCTGATGATTTGATTTAATGAATAAGTTTGAATAATTCCAAATTTTACCTAATATTTTGATATTTAACATGTATTGCTTCACCTAACCTAGCACGGACCGAACCCTAAGTTTTAATTGGATAAAATATCAAGATTTGTAAAAAACCTGTATTTTAAAATGTTTTAAACTTTAGATCTCAACTAGATGTGTTGCTTTTAGCATGTACATAAAGATTATTAAGGCTCCAAAATGGCACCTAAAGGAGGCAACTAAAGCCCATTACACATTGTGGTCACTTGGCAATAAATGTTGCGTTACCACGCGGTTAACACATGGGCAAAGCTTTAGCTAATGGAAAAGCACTTTGAAACTTGTGGAGATTGTCAGATTAGTTCTGATTCCTGTCTTTAAGGTTTGTTGGAAGCCTGGTGCTGGTAGAGACCCAAGTGGGAGGCAGAGGAAGATAAACAGGCAGTTCTGTATTGTTCTGCTGCTATCACTGAGGAGCTGTCAGACTGACTGATGGACGTCTCACCCACCCAAAATAGGCCCTGCTTTTCCCTTTGGCCCATTTATAAATAACCTCTGTGTGTGCTATGTGCATTTTATATGCGTCTTCTGTGGGTGTAAGAATGGGGTAGTGTTTTTGGACGGCAAATGAAAGAGATGTGATTGGTGCCAAGGCAGCTTTTAGACACATGAACAATATCAGAAGGTCCAGCAGCTTAGACCTTGTGCGACCTCCGCTCCCCTCCCACACGCTCATGTATATATACTTTCACTATTTGATTTCCCTACATCTGGCCACGCACTCGCATCTGAGAGTCTGTACACATCTCCTGTTTAGGTCTGTTTTTTTGGGCGCACACAGTTTTCCAATGTGGTTTTACTGCAAATGGCAAAGAAAATGAATCTGAATCTGGGAAACAGGCTTCTTCTCTGATAATGTTCAATGCTGTACATACAACTCAGGGATTTTTTTTCACTCTTTATAATGCGCTGTTATTATTTAGGATTTTAATGCCTTCAGTGATTGTCTCAATCTTGTTTTGTTCAGCACTTTGAGTTGCCTTGTGAATGAATTGTGCTGGATTAATGTGGGTATTTCTTCATGGTACACAATCTGCATATATTAGTCTTTATACTGTATATATATATTAGTCATTATAAATTTTAGTCTGATTCCATTGAATATTTTATTTGCCAATTTTTCAGGTTGTATGTTGAATTTATACTAAGACTGGGCCCCAAAATGTTGAGCAAATGAGAATATTTTTAAGAAAACAAAAAGTGGATGGACTTTTGGACAACAAACCTTGAAAATACACCCTAAACTTGTTATCTCATCATGCTCATTATGTTGAACATT